TGTGTGTGTGTGTGTGTGTGTGTGTGTGTGTGTGTGTGTGTGTACTGGGGATTGTAATGCAGGAACCACATCTCCATTCCTATTTTGTGTTGGTTGTTCTTGAGGTAGATGTCTTGCTGTATGCCTGAACCCTCCTGGGCCTTCCTACTTGTACTTTCCTTTTAGCTGGGATAACAGGTGCTTACCACACTGCATGGAGATGGGGTCTTGTCATTTTTTTATTCCCAGCCTGGCCTCAAACTATGATCCCTTGATCTCTGCCTCCCAAATAGTTTAGGGCTGAGCCATTACATCCAGTGGATATTTAACTTTGTACATTTTTCATTAATTTTTTCATTTTATTAATCAAAAATAAATGTTTTAAAGTAAGTAAATTATTTACTTTTTTTTTTTTAGACAAGGTCTCACTATGTCACTTGTGCTGGCTTTGAACCTTAGATTCTCCTACTTCAAGTTCCTAAAAGTTGGGATTACAGGTAAGAGCCACCATGCCTGGCTAACCTTGTAACTTTGAATACCATACCACAGGATCTCTGTTTTCTTACCCAGGGATGTCCTACACACTTAAGCAACCTGCTTGAACTTGATGCTCATGAGTCAAGTGAGAGGTTTGGTTCAAAATGGGGTGCATGTGAGATGGGGAACATGTAAATTCAGTAATGACTGACCAGCTGGACATGACAGCTGTGAGGGTGCTGGTCATGCAGCTAGAAGGCCAGGTTTGAAGCCACCCCTGCTTACGAGGTGGAAGGTCCTGAGCACATAGTGAACATGGGGGCAACAGCAGCACTGGAGAAGTTAGTGCCCAGTCCTACACAAAGCACCACAGCAAGCGCTGGTGCAGGCACAGTGCAAGCTGGGTAAACACTGCTGCTGTCTGAGAGCAGGAATTCCTCTCAGAGATGGGGTACAACCCCATCACCTATGAGACATGATCAGCATGGGTGGTATGCAGTGTAAAAACCACCCTTCACTAGCCACGCCCACTTTTCTACTTTTCCCTTGTCACGTCCAGGTTTGCATTCTTCCCCCAGACTGGAGGCCCCTGGTGTTGATTC